CAATACCTGGCTGTCCACAACACGTCTTCCGACAGATTTTAGCAATATCTGGCTGTCCACAACACGATTTCTGGCAGATTTCAGCAATATCTGGCTGTCCACAACACGTCTTCCGACAGATTTCAGCAATACCTTGATGTCCACAACACGTCTTCCGACAGATTTCAGCAATACCTGGCAGTCCACAACACGTCGTCCGACAGATTTCAGCAATATCTGACAGTCGACAACGTCTTCCGACAGATTTCAGCAATAGCTGGCTGTCCACAACACGTCGTCCGACAAATTTCAGCAATACCTGGCAGAACGACGCTCTGTTCTTTTCCAGTTGCGCCTTCTGTTAAGTCATGATATGGCTGAAGCAACACGTATCTACCTTCCTAAATGTGGAAATCGTTCTGGCCATCGCTCCTTTTACTGACTTACTGTCTGATCTCCAGTAACAAGTATGCCCAAGGGCGGATCCAGCATTTATAAAAGGGAGGGATCCAAAATATCAAAACCCCCTCTGCTTACAACATCCTACATTTGGTTTTCAAAAGGGGAGGGGTCCGGACCCCCTCGACCCCCCTCAGGACCCACCTATGTACAAGCATCTCAAATCTGTGGGGTAGTACCTGTTCTAAAAAGAACAAAATGGCATCGATTGCAAGGATACACATATGTAGCTGTAACCTTATATGTGACGAACATGCGAATCTATAAATCGTTAAAAAGAAGTAGAATAAAAAGGAACTGCAAGCATGAAATACTCATATCTCCCACCAATATGACATGTCCGGTTGTGTGCAATGCATTAGCTCCTGTGAACTATGTTCACTGGGCATTTTTGTAAATGGCCTAATTGCAGCACTAAAAAAGTTATTACTGGTACTGTTTTGCCATCTGCAGTTTATGATAGAATATGTTTCTGAATTTGGAATGAGTAAGGATGAGACATATGGACGAACAACTTCTTTATTACAATTAGGAGCGATGGTTTCGGTGATAACTCACTCACTCACTCACCTCACTCACTCACCTCACTCACTCACTCACTCATAGTATAGTGAATACAGCCAGTAAACTTCATGACTGAAACATTTACCAATATGAACTGCTACACGTAAATACGTCCGCACGTTTTTGTCATTCTAATTAATTGTCACCAATTGGTTTTATTGTCTTTCCTTCCTAATATTGATGACCTTTGACATTTGCATGATTGGATTTCTTGGGAAAATGAAAAAAAACTTTCAAGTCAGGGAATTTGTCACCGGTTTCTTAGGAAGTTTAAGACACATGTCGTTTTCAAATATCATTATCATTCCGTTAACGAAGTGAATTTTGTAAATCATCATGTCAAAAGTAAAACATAATGCGAGAAATATCGCTGTTGGAAGACTTGAATCTGGTGGATCAGATACGTCAGTGGCAAGAGAGATGAATGTTTCCCGTAGCACAATTTCCCGACTCTGGGTACGATGTCAGCGACATGATACTACTAAACGTGAGCGTTCAAGAGAGACCCCGTATCACCACATCAGCCTAGACTCACGACATCCGGGTCCTTCACACTCGAAACAGGACATTCGCTGCAGCACACGAGCCACTAGTGTACTAGTTTCCCGAGAGCCACAAGTGTACTAGTTTCCCGAGAGCCACGAGTGTACTAGTTTCCCAAGAGCCACGAGTGTACTAGTTTCCTGAGAGCCACGAGTGTACTAGTTTCCCGAGAGCCACGAGTGTACTAGTTTCCCGAGAGCCACGAGTGTACTAGTTTCCCGAGAGCCACGAGTGTACTAGTTTCCCGAGAGCCACGAGTGTACTAGTTTCCCGAGAGCCACAAGTGTACTAGTTTCCCGAGAGCCACGAGTGTACTAGTTTCCCGAGAGCCACGAGTGTACTAGTTTCCCGAGAGCCACGAGTGTACTAGTTTCCCGAGAGCCACGAGTGTACTAGTTTCCCCGAGAGCCACGAGTGTACTAGTTTCCCGAGAGCCACGAGTGTACTAGTTTCCCGAGAGCCAAAAGTGTACTAGTTTCCCGAGAGCCACGAGTGTACTAGTTTCCCGAGAGCCACGAGTGTACTAGTTTCCCGAGAGCCACGAATGTACTAGATTCCCGAGAGCCACGAATGTACTAGATTCCCGAGAGCCACGAGTGTACTAGTTTCCCGAGAGCCGCGAGCGTACTAGTTTCCTGAGAGCCACGAGTGTACTAGTTTCCTGAGAGCCAAGAGTGTACTAGTTTCCTGAGAGCCATGGGAATATAAACGTACTGGTCGTGGCCTTCAAAGGTCATCCGATCACAACCAAATGGAGCATCATTAGGATGAGGTAGACAGTCGTTTGCGTTTGCATCAACCTGGGCCACAGCATCAGCAACAATTACGCCAAGTTCTTCAGGAAGAATGGACTGCCATTCCACAAAGTGTCATCCTCAGGCTTCTTGGTGCCATGTACAGGAGGTGTCATGACGTCATTCAGGCCAATGGTGGACACACACGGTGCTATGCATTACGACTGCCATGCTCGAGAAACACACAAAGATATATTGTCGGCTACTGTCGTTGGTTAAGTGAGACGTAGAGCACGTAGCAAGCCCTAGATTTGAATCGCCCGTGGAAGGTGCGGTTACTTGGTCATTCTATCCGGGGATTTCAAATAAGATAACAAAATTGTTTTCGAGGTTGCGTGTTTCCAAACAAGCAAGCACACGTACCTATCAGAGACAATATAGGTTACTGTGAAAAAAAAGACCCAGCACACTCGATAATCCGGCATTTCGGGGTAACAGGGTTTGAAACTAAGGGTGGATAATCGACTGCAGTTGCATAACAAATGTTCCTGGTAGCTTAAAAAGAGTATATGCAAAAATAGGATTGAAATAAATCCGATTAATGTGCAGTGAATGTGAATTAACGCAAATGTTTATATTAGCAACTTTTATTTGATGTAGCAAGTTCTCAATATGAATACAGTTTACGCAAGGGTATATTCATAATTTAATAAATGAAGGTACAATTGAATTTGAAATGCTTGTTTGAACACTGGTAATGCACGGGTGTTAATGTGGATACAACTTTACGTATGTTATTCGCCAAATCCACACCCTGAACCACGCCCAGAGCGCTACTTTATTACCTGGTGGCTCACGACATGTCCAATCCTATTTACTGGATTCCAAAGTTCCATAAAAATCCGTAGAAAGAGAGAGATATATTACTGTCAAGCAAATGTACCAATAAAATTCCTGTTTCAAAGATTAACCACAATCGCTAAAAAATCAAGGAAGAACTTTCTTTAAATTCACACACAAAAATATTTGAGACAGGTTGAAATAATACCATGTGAATTCTCAAAAGCTTAAATGATTTGCCTGATTTTTTGGCAATCTCAGAAAAGTTCAATTCTGTCAAAACATTAAATTTTTCAGCTTAGTACACCGCTATCCCAAATTTAAGGGAATACTTCATTCCTTGATCCATTGGGCATTTGTTACCAAACATGGCGATAATAGATATAGTTACATAGTTATCTTCAGAAATTCAGGACAATTTGTAAAAAATGAAAGCCAATGTCATCTGAAGTTTACAGAGAAAACACAATGTGCAATGCTGAACATCCTCATTGACATCATAAATGTAACATTTGGGCTAAGACATTTAGGCAAGAAGTAGGCCTCCCGGTTGTGCTACCCTCATTATTGATCTTTTTCTTAATGATTATGAATCGGAATGTCTGCTCAGATTGGCAAATTAAATTCAAGGGAATTAGACCAAGAAGTTGAACTTTAGCTTCAGGTTTATCAATGATCTTATATAGTTCAATAACCATCAGATAACCAATTCCCTTCTGATCCCAACTGAACTTGAAATAAAAGAAACCAGTGAAAAATAACTCATCTGTTTCATATTTAGATCTATGTATTCAGTGCGTGAGTGAGTGAGTTTGGTTTTCCGCCACTTTTCGCAATATTCCAACAATATCACGACTGGGCACACCAGAAATGGGCTCCACACATTGTACCCATGTCGGGAATCGAACCTATGTCCTCGGCGTCACGAGCGAACGCTTTAACCACTAGGCTACCCGTCCGCCCCCTATGCATTCAGATTCAGTGTGACAAAAACTCTCCACAAGACTGTATGACAAGAGGGATGACTTCAACTTGCCAATGGTCAATTGACCCTTTATGCCGCGCAATATTCAAGCCTTTGGTGCCGACATTTCACAACTTTTGAGATACAATCGAACATGGTCTTTCTACGAAAATTTCAAAGAGTGTAGGTGCTACCGACGGGGCAGGACACCCGGTATCATAACTTCTTTATAGTGATTCATAGGATACAGTCGGAACCATACTTCTGATATAGTCGGAATCGTACAAGGTAGTAGTCTTCTTCTGTAGTAATGAATATGCTTATGAACATGTAACTGTTTTTGTCGCTTATGTTCATTTAGCTGTACAGACTGTAAGAAACTGTTTCGATATTCATTTCCAAAGTCGCTGTTATGACCCACGTTAGACTAGGTCCCAGTAGTCTCGTGCTGGTCATGAGAGGCGACTAAATTAGAGGGGTTGGTCTGTAAATAATCGAGTCTTGACCAAACAATCTAGTGATTGACATCATGAGCATCGATCCACGCAATTAGGATCGATGACATGCTTCAACCAAGTCAGCGAGCCTGACCAACCGATCCCGTTAGTATGTATGTATGTATGTGTGTGTGTGTGTGTGTGTGTGTGTGTGTGTGTGTGTGTGTGTGTGTGTGTGTGTGTGTGTGTGTGTGTGTGTGTGTGTGTGTGTGTGTGTGTGTGTGTGTGTGTGTGTGTGTGTGTATGTATGTATGTATGTTTTTATAACGGAGTTTTGAAAAGCACGAATATCAGTTATGGCCTGAAACTGTGTTCAATCTTACTCCACTTATTTAATTATTACTAAATTGTGCCTGAGAGTTAGAACTTTACTGTGCTTTTTCTGTGTATACAGTAATTGATGACAAAGCAGACAATGGGGACTTCACGGACATTTTATTTACATAAGCTGCGCATATATACACAGTACAGAGGTCAATGTACAGATATACCCGAGTCCGACAATAAACAATAACATGGGGATTGAACATGTGTGTTTGGGCAACCAGTGTCATTTTGCACAGAAGAGCGTTTAAAGCTCATGAAACATTTGGATTTGTGAGCAACATGAAGGGTACATCGAAGTTTCTAAAATATTTGTGGCCTCAGAGCATTTCATGAAAAAGAATTCGATTGAAGGGAAGCCCGAAGAAAACGATAATGATACTATACAAACATCCATGATAAACTCCACATAATAAAACAAAAATGAAAGATAATTTGACAACCAAAATTCTATATCTGTTTGGAGGCGCAATGTAAGGGAGATAACTGTACAAGACCTAAAGGGAGAACGCTGTTGGATGTCTGAGTCATAATGGCATAATGTCAGGCGTAGGTCGGAAGTCCAGACTGGCTCCTACATGCTGTGCAGAGTTGCGTCCCTTGGGCACGCCAGAATCTGGTTCGAATCTGGGCTCGTCCCGTGTCCGGGTTTGTCAGCACCATACCGTGCTTGGGGTTTCACCACAGTGGTAAACGTCCTGCATCGCTTCCCACATCAAGCTGACACGCCGTGATATAACTGGAATACTGCTCAAAGCGGCGTTATCTCTAACTCATTCAGATTACACATCATTCGGATTTCCTTGACAACAACATGGATGTCATTGGACAACATAAATATTAGAACACAATTATCAAAATGTGAGTAACAGGTAACAATACATTGACTGAAACAATTGACAGTATATGACACTGCATTGACAGATTAGTTACAGAGTGCTGACAAAAAACTAAGGATTATACAGCGCCTCGTGTTTGGACAAGCCAGTGTCATTTTGTACAGAATAACGTGTTGTGTACAGGTTCACAACATGTAGAATTGTGAATAGTTGTAAAGAAGGGTAAATATATTTTCTGAATAGTTCAGTGATTTATCACAGGGTATATGATACAAGAGAGAGCAAACAGAAAGGAAGTCGATATCCCCAAACCAGCCACACTGAAACCAGGAGGATATTTGATTGAAACCGGAAGTTCCAGTTTAAGCAAATGCAGTGTAAGGGAGATAACTGTACACACGCCAAGTAACGAACCAAACAAAGCAGCATATTTCTAACTGCTCTAACTGCTGTGTCACACTTTGCACAAACGTAATCTGCTCGCTAAAAAGAGAAATCTTGTAATTATAATACACTACACGACACATCCATGCAACCAATTACTTTTTAAAGTTTTAAAGTGCAAAGCTATACAACCAGCATATACACATACAGAATGTATTTCAATCAAGCCTGAATCTAATCAACAAATGACACCAGATGTGTGTACCGTGTGGCGTCATCGGATGGCCCCAGCGTCTCATAGCGTCTCTGATCTGCAGCTTCAACTACATCAGGCGAATCGTCATCTTCATCTGTACCAGCCGATGATTGAATCATTTCATAATGTCGGTAATCACTGTCACGTGACCCACCAAGCTCTTCCAGCGAGATATCATCGGATCTTGATTCCAGATCGTTTTGTACAGGTGACATGTATATCCCGGCTGAACCGTTCACTACGTACCTACAAGTTACAAATAACAAAGAAATACTAGTTTTAGAAGCGCAAATTAACACGCATATGTATGGTATTTAATACAGTGCCCGCCTGCATTCTCCGATCAACTAAATATAAGTTTTTAAAATTTTAAATAAAAGATGACCTCTATAAGAAATTCTAAGAAATTTACCTTGAGCACATTGAAACATAATCAGGGAGAATTTGGGATTCGGACCCACGATCATAGGTTTCTAGCGGTACTAAGGAACGCAACTCAGCACTTGGAATTACGGCACATTAGACAATCACGACAACACCGTATAAATACCAGCGTTAGTGTGTGAGTGAGTGAGTGAGTTTTGTTTTACGCCGCTTTTAGCAATATTCAAGCAATATTCGGGGGAAACCAGAAATGGGCTTCACACATTGTTCCCATGTCGGGAATCGAACCCGGGTCTTCAGGGTGACGAGCGAACGGCTAACCACAAGGCTACCCGACCACCCCTTAGCTCTTATTAACAAGTGTAGTTACTGTCAAAGTTTAAATTTCCAATTTATTTTTATTCAAATATTTATTCCCAATCGTTTCAGAAATGTACTATTACCGCTTAAGGAAGAGCACGGCCATGATGATAACAATAGAGACCAAAACGACAACCGCAGCAGAAAGGATCCATATCTGGCGACGATGTGAACTTTGTTCTGAAAATACGGACAAAGGACGCAAAAAGGTAATTACGAGTGAGTGGGTGAGTAAGCTGAACGGTGTTCCAGTTTATATCACGGCGTATCCGCTTAATGATGGACGAAAGCCCGAAGGGATACCACTTCGATGAAACCCACAAGCATGGATATGGTGCTGACAAACATAGAAACATAATCGGGGCGAATCGGGATGCGAACCCACGATCAAAGGTTTCTGGCGTGCCCACGGGAGGCAACTCTGCACAGAAAACTGCGGCCACAACTGCCCCCAGGTAACTATTACGAAAACCCATTTCCATGACAATATTTAGCTGACGTTAAGCGTTTCCATAATGAGTGAAATAACACACAAGTAAGACGTTAGTGCTAATCTATCACAACAATCAAGGCCTGTGCCAGAATCTGTTGAATGAGTTCCCTGTTGCAATGACTCGAGTTGTTGGGTACGGTGACACGCTATAAAAGCTGTAAGTCGCCGTACTTGACGAACCAATCCGGTAAGTCGTCATGAAACAAACATCACTGGGGACACATTCTTACGTGGAACCACCACTAGGGATTACATAGTGAGTTGTTATGGCGTTCAATTATAAATAACCAATACAAGTGTTTATATGCGAGTACGTTTGTTACCATTGCAGTGTTCTCCCGTCCAGCCATCAGGACAAGTAAGGCAGGCAGCATCATACTGACATGTGTTGCACATCATGGGGCACCTTTCAGAACAGACCGCCTCCATGGTCTAATGGTAGAGCGTCCGCCCGGAGATCGGAAGGTACGGGGTTCGATCCCCGCCGCGTCATACCAAAAGACGTTAAAAGATGGTACTTGTTGTTACCCTGTCTGGCGCTCGGCATTAAGGGGCAAAAACAAGGGCTGTTCGGCTCGGAGTCATGATACTGTGTCTTAGTGGGGTATTGCGGCATGGTATCTCAGTGGGCTAGCACTATAAATCGGCATCAGTCCGGACTAGTACAAGCAGCCACACACACACGTGCATGCACGTCGCTATATAAGTGCAATAATCTTGGACGCGACGTTAAACCCAATCTCGCCTCACCTCACCTCACCTCACCTCACCTCACCTATTTCAGAACACTGTCTTCCGTACCGCCCGTCCTCACACCCGTTTATACAGACTCCTGTCATGTTACACTGCGACTTCAGGCAGGCAGTGTTACAGGTCAAGTTACAGGACTCGCCGTATCTGTTGGCTTCACACTCCAGGCATTGGCCATGATGTCTGTCACATCTCACACAGTGCTGTGGACACGTGTTCTCACAGTAGTCACCCCACCATCCGTCTTCACACCCCTCAGTGCATTGGGGCGTATCTACATCAGTGTTAACTGTATGACAGTTTCTATTGACACAGTGATCACTGCACGAATTGTTACAGTAATGGCCATAGGAAGTTCCAATACATCCTTGTGAACATATTCCAGTTTGGTGGCAACGTGTGCCTCCATTACATCCGGATGAACAAAGTTTGTCACACATCTTGCCGAAATGTTGTTGTTGACAAGAGAGACATTTTTCAATATATTGTTCACATTTAGAACAGAACTGTGGACAAGAAGCGTTGCAGTGGGAGCCTTTGAATCCCTGCATACAAGACTTACAGGAACCAGTCTCTCTGTGGCAGGACTCTGAGGCACATTGGTCGGGACATTCTAGATGACACGTATCTCCGTACCAGCCTGTGGTACAGCCTTGGATACACTTTCCTGACATTTTTTCACAGGCATGATTCAAACAGTTGGACCCACAATGTCGCTCACACATTTCCCCAAAGTTTCCAACTCTGCAAGATTCACAAGTTCCACTCCGGTCACATCTCTGGTTACTACAGTGACTGCTGCAGGGGATGTTGCATTGGTCTCCATGGAAACCGGGTTTGCATGTTTCACAGGTTCCGTTACGATAACACAGTTCGTCCTCACAGTTGACATTGCAGGCTTCGTCACACTTGTCACCAGACCATCCCCTTCTGCACCCGGATGTACATATCCCGTTCAATGAGCATGGTCCGTTGACACATTTATTGCACTGTTTTTCACACAAACGTCCATACCACCCTACTTCACATCCCCGTGTACACTCTCCTTCCAGACCACATACGTTATAGAGGCAGTGCAGGGGACAGGGAGCGGTACAGCCTTCTCCGTGGAATCCAGCCTTGCATGTACAGTTTTTTCCTGTACACATTTCACAGTTTGGACAGTTTTGCTCACATTTGTTTCCTCGTCCTCCTCTCTTGCAGCCACACAGACACCTCCCCTCATTGTCACATGTCTCAACACCGTCTCCACACCGCCTGCACTTGTCACAAGTTAAATCACATCCAGGTCCGTAGTAACCTGGCAGGCAGTTTTGCAGACAGTGCCCTTTCCACCGGTGACATCTTTCATTCCTGCATCCTGTACTACATGGAGTAAGACAGTCTGCACCCCACGTGTGGCTCTGGTTACAGGGAACACCACATGCATCTTTGTATTCGACTGACTGTACATCGACATCATCCTTGCATTGTCTGCACGATAAGCCATCCTGGAAATGTCCCGATCTGCACTCTGTGGAAAGTATGTTTCAATATTAACTATGATAATCAGGTCGCTTAAAACAAACACTAGATAAAGGGAAAAGGCTGTTGATAAATGGACCGTATAAATATTGAGAATATTGCACAGAACTCTCTATCGATATGAGAACAGTTCAGCTGTCTTCCCTTAGATTTGCCTCTCACCTTCTGGACAAAGGCCGCATGTCTTCTTGCAGATAGTGTCTATACCTGGCTGAAGACAGTTCCACTCTCTACAACTTGAATGTCTATCCTGGCACGGTGGAAAGGCTGCAACAATGAAGTCAGTGCGAACGTTATTGTCTCCAAGATTAAACGCGTGAATGGACGAGGTTTTTATTTAATTTTCTCAGGCCTGATCTAAAGATGAAATAATGTTGCAAATTAAACTGGAGAGGTCACTTATCCCAGATAACTTCTTTCCATGTTCGGACCTGATACCCTACTAAACCTTAATACTTCATGATTCACTATAAAAACTCTACCATAACCACTGATTAGTTAGCACATCTTTCATATCTTATTGACATGTCGGACATTTAACCACTGCTATAACTATGATACTTCAAAGTTTGCCCAAGTGTATTCAAAATATGCCATGTGTGACGGCGAACATGCGTCAGTTATATAATATATACGTTGGATAGGTGTTTAATATATTCACCAGTACATTGTGTGAGAGCCAGCCCGCACATTGCCAGAAGGAGGGTGTTGTGGTGACACATGGTTGAATGCGTCAATCCTTGAACCTGTAGTCGACAAGAAGGTTTCCTACAGAAGCATATCAAAGTCCACAAAGGGATAGTTACCTCAAATAAAATTGCTTATATCTATCTTAAAACACAAACATAAAAGAACTAATAACTCCAAATGAGCTTGTCATTGAGCATTAATTTCCTGGCATTAAACATGGCTTATTCTGGTGACGTTTTCTCGACACAGGGTCATGTGTTATGGGCAAATGAAGAAATATACTCGCTGAGACAATTCCTGTTATTGCATTGATGACAGCAGGTGTTTGACACCCCTCATGTGCGACTGTCCTTATACATGATCCGAGATATAAAACGATTATGTCTTTTCAAATGAATTTTAGAAACATTACTTTACCTGTTTACGTGGTGTTACGAGCAGGACTAGGATGGCACATTTGCAGAGCTACACAGTGACCGAGTGAATCATATTTTCTATTTCCCTTTACGTTACATACAGCAAACAAGGACAAATACATTGCCTGTCTATGGCATACATAAAGTGTGATTCATGCCCAACTACATCCTGTCACCGTCAGCATTATAACATGCATGTCTATATATACAATGATGTCCCTCTTAACGTTGTAACATGCATGTCTATATACACATGTTGTCTCCGTCAACGTTGTAACATGCATGTCTATATACACATGTTGTCTCCGTCAACGTTGTAACATGCATGTCTATATACACCATGTTGTCCCAGTTAACATTGTAACATGCATGTCTATATACACCATGCTGTCCCTCTTAACGTTGTAATATACATGTCTATATACACCATGTTGTCCCTCTTAACGTTGTAACATACATGTCTATATACAGCATGTTGTCCCTGTCAACGTTGTAACATACATGTCTATATACACCATGTTGTCCCTCTTAACGTTGTAACATACATGTCTATATACAGCATGTTGTACCTCTTAACGTTGTAACATACATGTCTATATACACCATGTTGTGCCCGTCAACATTGTAACATACATGTCTATAAACACCATGTTGTCCCCGTCAACGTTGTAACATACATGTCTATATAAACCATGTTGTCCCTCTTAACGTTGTAACATACATGTCTATATACACCATGTTGTCCCCGTCAACATTGTTACATGCATGTCTATATACACCATGTTGTCCCTCTTAACGTTGTAACATACATGTCTATATACACCATGTTGTCCCTCTTGACGTTGTAACATGCATGTCTATATACACCATGTTGTCCCTCTTAACGTTGTAACATACATGTCTATATACATCATGTTGTCCCTCTTAACGTTGTGACATACATGTCTATATACACCATGTTGTGCCCGTCAACATTGTAACATACATGTCTATATACACCATGTTGTCCCCGTCAACGTTGTAACATGCATGTCTATATACACCCAGTTGTCCCCGTCAACGTTGAAACATGCATGTCTATATACACCATGTTGTCCCAGTCAACGTTGTAACATGCATGTCTATATACACCATGTCGTCCTCGTCAACGTTGTAACATGCATGTCTATATGCACCATGTTGTCCCTGTCAGCGTTGTAAGATGCATGTCTATATACACCATGTTGTCCCCGTCAACATTGTAACATGCATGTCTATATACACCATGTTGTACCTGTTTACCTTGTAATATGCATATCTATATACACCATGTTGTCCCCGTCAACGTTGTAACATGCATGTCTATATACACCATGTTGTCCCCGTCAACGTTGTAACATGCTTGTCTATATACACCATGTTGTCCCCGTCAACGTTGTAACATGCATGTCTATATACACCATGTCGTCCTCGTCAACGTTGTAACATGCATGTCTATATACACCATGTTGTCCCCGTCAACGTTGTAACATGCTTGTCTATATACACCATGTTGTCCCCGTCAACATTGTAACATGCTTGTCTATATACACCATGTTGTCCCAGTCAACATTGTAACATGCATGTCTATATACACCATGTTGTCCCCGTCAACATTGTAACATGCATGTCTATATAAACGATGTTGTTCCCCGTAACGTTGTAACATTGTAATTTCTTAAATACAAACTTAAAATCATGTACCCATGTGAAAGGTATACCTATAGTATTTACACACGTGGGGGCTATAACAATAATTGACTTTTCCCCTACCCAAGAAACCCAGAAGATACAAGAACAGAACATGTTTTCTATAAAATACCATACAATGCATCATGTCTACAGCAACCCATTGTATCAGCAAATCGTAATACGTTATGCATCTTCATGCTCGTCTTCATTTGGTTACCCATTTCATACATCTCTATGTTAATATGATTCGACATAGACGCAAAGTGACAGAAACCATTTGAGTTGCAGCGACCGCACTTCTTCCACAGATTCCAGCTATATCTGGCTGTCCTCAACGCGTCTTCCGACAGGTTCCAGCAATATCTGGCTGTCTTCAACACGTCTTCCGGCAGATTCCAGCAATACCTGGCTGTCCTCAACGCGTTTTCCGACAGGTTCTAGCAATACCTGGCAGTCCTCACACGTCCTCCGACAGGTTCCAGCAATATCTGGCTGTCTTCAACACGTCTTCCGACAGATTCCAGCAATACCTGGCTGTCCACACGTCTTCCGACATATTTCAGCAATACCTGGCTGTCCACACGTCTTCCGACATATTTCAGCAATACCTGCTTGTTCAAAACGCGTCCTCCGACAGGTTCCAGCAATACCTGGCTGTCCGCAACACGTCTTCCGGCAGATTCCAGCAATACCTGGCTGTCCACACGTCTTCTGACATATTTCAGCAATACATGGCTGTCCACACGTCTTCTGACAGATTTCAGCAATAGATGGCTGTCCACAACGCGTCTTCCGACAGATTTCAGCAATACCTGCTTGTCCTGAACGCGTCTTCCGACAGGTTCCAGCAATACCTGGCTGTCTTCAACACGTCTTCCGGCAGATTTCAGCAATACCTGGCTGTCCTCAACGCGTTTTCCGACAGGTTCTAGCAATACCTGGCAGTCCTCACACGTCCTCCGACAGGTTCCAGCAATATCTGGCTGTCTTCAACACGTCTTCCGACAGATTCCAGCAATACCTGGCTGTCCACACGTCTTCCGACATATTTCAGCAATACATGGCTGTCCACACGTCTTCCGACATATTTCAGCAATACCTGCTTGTTCACAACGCGTCCTCCGACAGGTTCCAGCAATACCTGGCTGTCCGCAACACGTCTTCCGGCAGATTCCAGCAATACCTGGCTGCCCACACGTCTTCCGACATATTTCAGCAATACATGGCTGTCCACAACGCGTCTTCCGACGGGTTCCAGCAATATCTGGCTGTCTTCAACACGTCTTTGGACAGATTTCAGCAATACCTGCTTGTCCACAACGCGTCTGCCGACAGGTTTGAGCAATATCTGGCTGTCTTCAACACGTCTTCTGACAGATTTCAGCAATACCTGGCTGTCCAACCGTCTTCCGACATATTTCAGCAATACCTGGCTGTCCACAACGCCTCTTCCGACAGGTTCGAGCAATATCTGGCTGTCTTCAACACGTCTTCCGACACATTTCAGCAATACCTGCTTGTCCACAACGCGTCTTCCGACAGGTTCCAGCAATATCTGGCTGTCTTCAACACGTCTTCCGACAGATTTCAGCAATACTTGGCTGTCCAACCGTCTTCTGACATATTTCAGCAATACCTGGCTGTCCACAACGCGTCTTCCGACAGGTTCCAGCAATATCTGGCTGTCTTCAACACGTCTTCCGGCAGATTTCAGCAATACCTGGCTGTCAACACGTCTTCCGACATATTTCAGCAATACCTGGCTGTCCACAACGCGTCTTCCGGCAGATTTCAGCAATACCTGCTTGTCCTCAACGCGTCTTCCGACAGGTTCCAGCAATACCTGGCTGTCCTCAACGCGTCTTCCTACAGATTTCAGCAATACCTGGCTGTCCTCAACACGTCTTCCGGCAGATTTCAGCAATACCTGGCTGTCCTCGACACATCTTCCGACAGGTTCCAGCAATACCTGCGTGGTCCCAAAACGTCTTCCGACAGAGTTCAGCAATACATGGCAGTCCAGAAAAACGTCTTGCGACAGAGTTTGGCAATACCTGGCAGTCCACAACACATCTTTCGACATATTTCAGCAATACCTGGCTGTCCCCAACACGTTTCCGTCAGATTTCAGCAAAACCTGACAGTCCACAACACGTCGTCCGAAAGGTTTCAGCAATACTTGGCAGTCCACAACACGTCTTCCGACAGATTGCAGCAATACCTGGCAGTCCACAACACGTCGTCCGACAGGTTTCAGCAATATCTGGCAGTCGACAACGTCTGCCGACAGATTTCAGGAATAGCTGAATGTCCACAACACGTGCTTTCGACAGATTTGAGCAATACCTGGCAGCCCACAACACGTCGTCCGACGGGTTTCAGCAAAACCTGACAGTCGACAACGTCTGCCGACAGATTTCAGCAATAGCTGGCTGTCCACAACACGTCGTCCGACAGGTTTCAGCAATATCTGGCAGTCGACAACGTCTGCCGACAGATTTCAGCAACAGCTGACTGTCCACAACACGTACTTTCGACAGATTTGAGCAATACCTGGCAGTCCACAACATGTCGTCCGACATGTTTCAGCAATACCTGGCAGAACGACGCTCTGTTCTTTTCCAGTTGCGCCTTCTGTTAAGTCATGATATGGCTGAAGCAACACGTATCTACCTTCCTAAATGTGGAAATCGATCTGTCCATCGCTCCTTTTACTGACTTACTGTCTGATCTCCAGTAACAAGTATGCCCAAGGGCGGATCCAGCATTTATAAAAGGGAGGGATCCAAAATATCAAAACCCCCTCTGCTTACAACATCCTACGTTTGGTTATCAAAAGGGGAGGGGTCCGGACCCCCTCGACCCCCCTCAGGACCCACCTATGTACAAGCATCTCAAATCTGTGGGGTAGTACCTGT